ACCTCACCGATGAAACACAGCGTGACCTTTCACAGTCTCTTCTGCCGAGCAACTGCATTTGTGCTGGTCCCTTGAGCGATTTCTTGAGAAAGGCTTCATGGAGGTTTCACATGCGTAGCTGATGGCTCCAGCTGGATAAGGAGATTAGGGAGTGAGTTTGGCATAGTGATAACAACGTGTAAAAATGAAACAGGATGCCATAGAAATATTATATAAGATAATTTCAGTTATCAGCTGTAAAGAATGTTCTGCTTGCTTCTGATTGCTCATATCTTCTATTTTTATCAGTTTCCTTCTGCTTGTCTTTGTGCATGTTTCCTGGTGTAGCAGGTCTCACCCAACCAACTGCAAATAAAGATAGCACTGATAACTATAAAGTGAGGAGGGGGGGAACTCACTTCAGACTTGCACACTTGGGCTGCCTTTGACTGTGAAGTATTTTCCAGATGGACTACTTAACACTAGGGGTTTGGTCTCTCATACCTGCAGCCCTAAGGATTTCTGCTGGGTAAAATGAAAAGCCAGTTGTTGCAGATGCAAGTTCTCCATGAGATGGGAAATAAGAACCAGGGCCTGAAGCTCTCTAGGCTGGCGAGAGGGAGAGAAGGTTTTGCAGTGAAGGCAAAGGATGAGCTCTCAGTTTGAGCTTCCTATGGGAAGGTCGTACACGTCAGGCTACAGAGCCGTTACGGATCAGCACAGACTTGCTTCCCTGGGCTCTGTGCCGCCTGGATGTAAACCACTTCTAGCCACTGCTTAGGGCATATTGGTCTCAACCTCAGCACTGCACCCGTGCTTTCTTACAGCTAAAGCTGGCATCTGGCCATCTTAAAGCTGAGCTGAGCTTGGGCCACCCACACACTCTCTGTGTGAGCCCATGCAGACATATCCTCAGGTAAATATACTCCCACTTCGGCAAATGACTGAGTGCTGCCAGAGAAGGGTAACTGTGCCCTGCTGCATGCTGTACCGGGCTCCACGCATGGCTGGGGAAGTCTTTTCCAGTAGGGGCATTGCAGATGACGTTCCTGCAACAGCTTTGCAGACATGGCTCGGGAAGACATGCTTTAGGTTTGGGGGGCTGCAGCAATCACTGCTGCAGTGATTGTAGACTCTGGGTAACCCAGAGAGGTTTCCAGGGCAGGTAGGAAAGGAGAGAAGAGGGAGACCTCATCTGCCTGTGAGTCAGTGGCCACATAACCTAGTGAAAAACTTCCCTGGATCTTCTTCCACCAAGGCGTGAGGACTGAATTTCTCCTCTGAGAGGTACAACGCAGAATCTTGTCTGCATTTGTGCTGTACTGCAGTTATTTATAACTATTTTATTTGTGTGGCTTTGTACCACACAACTTCCAGGTTAGTCTGCAACTGTAGAAAACAGAACGTCTCAAAATATACACAGAACCTGCTATATTGGGCTTTGATTTTGCTTGAGACCTTTGTGCATTACCACCACATCATTGTTAACAATGTAGGGCTTAAATTCAAAATGCCATTTCTGTATAATGCTGACATTTCTATATAATGTCATTTCTATTATAAAAACCATAAGTAGCCAGAGAGCAATACCTGTGCCTGGAGGTATGCTCATTAGGCCAACCAGCAGCAAGGCTACGGACTAGAATAAGCCACAGCTGATGAAGCCAGGGACTTTAGCTATTGGGGACCAAAGAAAAATAAACCTCTGACAGTCCCTGGCTATTTTATGTCTCCTGAGCAAGAGACTTTTAAAGTTTGGGCCAAAGAAAGTGCAACACTTGCCTAATGAGTTTAAGATTCTCCAATCTCCCCAACAAGCAGGAAATCAGAAAACGTGAGCTCTGTGTGATGGTAATTATGACAGGTTTGCTGCTGGCCTTTGGTCTATGACAAAGATGACGAGCGAGTGAACTAACCACACATTTCTAGGCACTCCGTGGCCAGTGAATGCTCTTTCTCCTATTACATGAAGTCAGAGACGGGTCCCGTGTCAGCCATCCTGCATGAGTCAGTGGTAATGAGAGAGGAAGTGGGAGTTGTGTTTACAAGCCCTGGAGGATGCTTGGCAATGCAGGCTGCAGCTTGGCTCACACTTTACATCTCCAAAACTGTTATTACATAATCCAGAGCTATATAGAAAGGGATTTCAGAGCCTTTTCAAGGAGTGCATGCAAAGAGACCTGGCTGACCTGAACCCTTAAGATCTCATGATATGTACTCCTACTTCTCTTATGATCAGAATGATCCTTTCGAGCCTTAAAAAATCTCATCAACAGAGCATCCCGTGAGGGCTAGCTACTCAACCAACGTCTTGTGCAGAGCCACTGGGCTCCACGTGGGCACAAGACCTCCCTCCCTTGCTGGGGGGACTACCATCCCACAGCTATTTCTCCCCTTTTGCCAGGCCCAGTGTCGTTTCTGGGTGGGTGCAACAAAACCCAAGCCCCCGTGGGGCAGGTGCTGCTGGGGCTGCGGTGGAAAGCTGTGTGCAACACGTGCCTGAAGGCTGCAGCCAGAATCGCTGCACCGAACACTGGAGCCAAGCTTGCCTGGGGTATTGCAAACCCTGGGAGTTTACTTGATGTGAGGAATTTGTTCCTGACATTTTGATATTTCTCCAGATCTGGGTGTACCGAGAGATATCTCAGCACCCAGGCCTGGCCCTGGTTAATAGGGTGTAGAAAGGGGACGGGTGAGTGGGTGCCCGTCAGGTAGTATCAGCACCCTTTCTGCGAGCTTGTGAAACAGCTTAGGAGAAAAAAACATCTGAGGCCACAAGCGCAGTTTGTAATCCATATTTTATTGCTTTGTACAAGTGAAAAAATAGGGGAAAAAGGAGAACTACAAGACTGAAAGGTAACGTGAAAGGCCGCAGTGGGAGTCCACAACTGCCACTGAAGGGTGATTTGTAGCCTGGTGGCACAGAAAAGTGGTATGACTAAGGCACAGAAGTTGCCCTCTTTTTTTAAATAAATAAAACAGCAGAGCTCAAAAAGAAAGTGGAAGCCAACTAATGCTGACAATCACCCTTGTCACAAATAACTACATTGAGGCTATTAAAATAAGGTGACCAGCAAGTGCCTAGATCCAAAATAACTGAAAAGACTTGGTGTGGAGGGGGAGCTGCAAGAAGGAGCCCTTTTGACAAGCTTAATGTTCAAAGGTTTTAATGTAATTAAAGGTCATTTTTGACGCAAGTTTAAACGTTGTCAGCAATGCTGCACGGGCCTGCCTCTGGAGAACGAGCAAGCAAGAGCATTTGCACTCTCACAGTGGGAGGGAAATGCAAGTAATAAACAGACTGCATGGTGAGATCCCAAAAGAGCAGTGCCCAAGCTGAGAAGTCAACATTTTTCCAAAGCTTGGCTTTGGTTTACATTCCTCTAGAGGAAAAAGTGACTCAGATAATTAAGCTGATGGAGATTTTCCAAGCTGTTCAAGACACTGAAAACATGTATCTTGCCCTCAGCTTAATGGTGGGCACCATATAAATATCTTTAAGAAAAAATACCCTGCATTTTTAATTGTCCTAAGTATTCTGGGAACACAACCATGGCTAGAATATTACTTTAATGAAAGCGCAGTGCTAAAGAAGGACGTATGCATGGAATGGGGATGTGCTGTGACTTGTATCGCTTGCCCGTCCAAATACGTGGGTAGCTATCTGCCCCCGCTCTGCCCTTGCCTTGCCTTTGAAGCAGCTGCTCTGCATTACTTTCTTTCAAGCCTTTCCCATTTCTCTTTCCTCTCCAGTAGCTAAAAATGGGATGTGTATCTGTAGAGCAGAAATAAAAGCCCCCTCCTGCCCAGACCATTGCTTCTTTGATCCCAAACAAGAAAACAGGCTTCAAGCTGGCGAGGTTGCTATTCTGAGTAACGCGATGTCCAGGGGAGCCGTATTTCTCCCTTTTAACAGAGACAGCTGATAGCTGCTGCCGCAGAAGCCGAGTTCGACTGCTGCCTTCCCCCCATGGCTCGGCAGACACGGCCCGCTGAAGGAGGCCAAGGGCAGGAAAACCTTGCTGGCACTGACCTCATGTTGGGTACTGCAATAGATAAACAGCTGTACCGAGGCAGGCTGCTCCTGGGAGCTGGAGGAACTGCTCACAGGATTTAAGTTAAGCACAGACATAAGCTGTGTCGGTGATTAAATATCTGACACTTTGTGGAACTGCTCTTCACGGAGTGGAAATTCACTTTCCAACAAGGGCTAGCACTTAGGTCTTGTTCAATAATTAAATGTGACTGAAACTCTTGAAATATTACACACTTGCATGGCATAGACCCTGTGGGCTGCTGAATCTTTGTACAAGGGTGGATATTGCTGCCAGGATGAACCCCCATCCATGAGAAGGAAAACCAAAAGTAGCCGGCAAGACCAGTCTGGGATACCTGCTAGGAATTAGGGACAGTCACTAAAAAATTTCCCTCCAAAGTCTGCATTTTTCCACAGAACTGTTTTTCAGCAAAAAATAAGAATCTTCTAAAATTATATCTGAGAGGTGCATGATTCTGAAAGAAATAGGTCATCCACAACATTGTACAATTTATAAAATTATTATTCTATGCTGGACAAAAATGCAAATGAAATATTTCAGCTACTTTTTCTTGCAAGAAACTGGTCTTACTTGAAAATGATTGCCGAAACCATACTTGGCTGTTAACGCCTCTAGCTTGTGTTTGATCAAATTTGGTCTTAATTACATGCGCTACTGCAAGTGTTCACACTGGCAACGCCAACATTTGCTTTTTTCGCTAGGTGAAGCTGATGAGTCCATGATACTCCCGCTGTGTGTCCCCCTCCTTGACCTTACAGCGATTGCAACAAGGTACTGGTGGCCGGGTACTTTTGCAGCACCAGGGCCATCACAGACCCATCAGCTTCACCATCAGTCCACGGTTATTCAGCCTGACCGAGGCCATGGCCTGCAGCTCTGCAGATGGGCAAGCAGCTAGACTGGTTTATACCAGGTATTGTTCGGGTTGTCCCCGTGCAAAGTGCAATCCTTTTTCCCATTTTGCTAGGAAGACTTCGCCTCGGGAATCTGCGTGCTTGGCTGCTCCACAGCCAGATGGTTTTCAAAGACACAGCACAGCTTGTAATTTTCTATGAGCTTGGCTTGAAAATACTCCCTGTCCTTCTTGTGCCAAATGTCTGTGGCAATGTAGGTGTTGTAGGGGTCGCGGGAGTTCTCCAGCCTCCTGGCGCGGATGTTGGTCAGCATGACTCCCACTGTGAAGAAGCCAAAGAGGCCGATCATCAGCAGCACATAGATGATTTCCAGACTGCTGCTGGCACTTCTGACCTGGGAAGGTGCAGAGCTATTCATCTGCTCCAGGTAGTCTTGAAGCAGCTTGGAGAGGAGTGAATTCAAGGCTGTGTCGTTAGACAGCACCAACATCTTGTTTTTCTGTCCTTCGCACTTCTTTCTTCCTTCCTTATTTGTAGTTTTTCTAGAAAAGCATAAAAATCAGGGACATGCCAGATAAATCATCAGATAAAGATGCGATTCCCTCTGTCTCCCTTTACTGGTTCCCCTCCCCAGCGAGGAAGCTATGTCGGGGTCGGAGCAGAGGCAGGGCAGCTGGACCAGCCTGGAGGGACCTCTTTACCTCCTGTTTCCAAGCCAGGCCAGCTAGGCTGAGTTCATCTCCCATAAACACTTGCCTTGCAAACCCTCCTCAGTCCTCACAGACGATCTGTTACGGTGTGCAGCTGCCCCGGCTGTCGGCCACTCACACGGATACCTCGCCCAGGCCTCCTGTGCTGCTATTTAAAGCCCATGACTTCTCCCCCAAGCCCCCACAGGCATGAGAAGTGTCTCACTCCTACTCTACCGCAACTGCTTCTGGCTTTGAAGATTGTTATCATGGCTTGTCTTGGTCCTCTCTCCTCTACTTTCAGCTTAAGGATTGAATTCAGAAACAAAACTTCTGTGCCTGAAATCACTCAGTACCTGCAGCAAGCTCCTCCTGTCCACCCCTGTTGAGGAGTCTTGCCGTTCTTCTGCAGCTCTCGTAACGATATACACCATGGAAAACTAAGCAACCAAACATCTGACAGAAATGTATCCCACGGTAATTTAATGCAACTTCCCAATGAGCATTTGCCCAAGGAGTGGATACAGAGGGAGTCTATAGCAACTGCCTACCCAGCAGTGGAAAGGAAAAGCATCTCCCTTCATCCTTCCCCCTACAGACTGGCAGTTCTCCCCCAAGTAGTTCACTGCTTTCTCCTCCAAACTAAATTGCTATGCAAGCGGTGTTTTATTGTCTGGTTAGGAGGACTTCCACTGGCATCACTGCAGGTCAGGAATAGGGCAGGAGATGGTAACACCAAGAAGCACCTGAACGTCCAAAGCCTCCTAGCCATGGCACTCTGCATCGACAGTCTTACACAAGAAGCCGAAGTGTCCTTTTCCCCTTTCCAATGTCAGCTGTAAATCACTTAATAAGAGCAATCCTATCAGCACTGCAGTCCCAGAGCCTCAGCAGCCAGGTAACATGACTGACAATCTCACTACAATTCCTAATTTAAATGTCTCTAGAAAATTAAGACAACAGCCTCCCTCTGTTTTTGCCCCTAGCACACCTGAATGAGGTACTGTTATTGAAGGTGACTTCTGTGACAGCAATCTTGTAATCACATAAGATGGCTGTCAGGGCTTTCTACAGTTTTAAATCTGTGAGGGCAGGCCAGCATGATAGCAAAGGCTTCTCCAGCATACTTACCTTTTGTTGTTGTTTTTCTTTTTTAAGAGTTACTATATTATAATAATTTATAATACATCAAGAATTGAAATGAAACCTTGGGCAGAAAGCCACCAAAAGGCCTAGGCAGCAATTACACCCCTCCGTGAGGGCAACATTAATGATGCATAGATGTTGTACAGAACCTCTGCACAGGAGGGAGTTTAGCTGTGCACACAGCCACCAGCTGCCGATAATGACACTGCAGTAGATGAGATATATCTGGAGGCTTCTTTGAGTTGTCTGCACTTCATTATGGCATAAATGCTGTAAAAGGAGATGCTGAGACAGAGGAAGCGAGAGGAGGACACTGATCTTATGACCTGCTGTCCCTTGTATGAAGAGCAGTTATTTACCTGGCATGTTCTGTGCTAGCAGGTGCTGTTGCGGCCAAATGAAATACACAATTAATGCAGACATGAATACGATCAAACCTACTCACATAAATTAATTGCTACTGCAATTGCATGTGCTGAGTTTTAGTCCAAACCCTTTTGCTAGACCTCCCAGCCGTGCAGTCATGGATTTGGGGCCGGGTCTCACTGAAAGTCAGATGCTTAGCCCAGGATGATAAATTTTATGGAGAAAGCCCTGTTCTTCTCACCATGCAATCCTGGGGGACACGAGCGGCACCAGTCCACACCAGATGACATCAGACTCCTTCCCCTGGTGAGTGGGCGACCACTGGGAGCCCAGGCCAGGCTCCTGTGGGCTCAGACTCCCCCTGCTCCAAGCAAGCAGTTCCTGCCATGAGGTGCCTCGCCAGCAGGAAAAATGAGCACCCATGAGAGTATGCCTTGGTATTTTGGCTTTAAATAGAGCCAAGCCTGGGGGTGGCAGAGGGAGACAAACATCCCCTGTACAAAACAATATTCTGATCCAATTTATTTCTTCAGTTGCATGAGTCAAAGCTACAGGAAATAACATCGTGGCAGTTTGGGCTTAATAGTTAAAATCTATTCACATTTCACAGCTGTGTTCAGATCCTTTAAGAAGGAAAGGAAGAGAAAAAGAAGTTTAAACCTTTATCTGAGATTGCTCCTCCTAAGCGTGTAGAACGTGTCGACACTGTAAAATGTAAAACCATTTGCAAATCATTGCAATAACTTTCAGACAAAACAAAGAAGCATTTCACTGGATCTCTCAAATTTTTCCGGAAAGACAGGCAATCATTTCTCATAATAATTATCAGTAGCACCGACAAGACTTCCAGTGCTGATGAATTGACATTTTGAGGATGAATATCCTCAGCTACCTCCCTATATTCTTTTGGGACATTTCTGAGGGTTGCAAGGTGTTGCCCACTTCGGGGTTGCTTGCACGCCGGCTGGGCGGGAAGCCGGCAGGAAGCTGAGTGGCCCCATCTCCATAACCACATCAGATGGCAATAACAGGAGAGGTTAAGGGAGGGAGAGGGCGCGCTCCTGTTCCCCAGGAAATCTCCTCCTGAAATCGCAGCAAGCCTAAAGGCCTCCTCTGCCACTGCACAAGCCCTGTGCAACTCCACTGAAATCCATACTGGGACCAGTTTAGAGCTGGAGTACCCAGGACTGGGAAGAGCCACCTGTGTCACTGGCCTACTCCATGACTGACAGTCACATCTCACTGTCCCAAAAACTCTGTTTTGACCACAACCAGAGTGGTTTTCTGCTCCCCGCCGCTCTCCCCAGGTGACTGCTGATGGGCTGCAAATCATAACCACTGCCCCAGTCCTCTTGTGGGGCTCCCCTGAGGAGCTCTGAGTGAAATCGTGCCCAGCCCAAAATCAGCATCGCAGTTTACCTGGGTTGCATCCTGGTAAGCCAGGACCTTGACTGGGGTGGTGGTCCCCATCCCACACCATCCCACAGGAGGTTTCAGTGCATGCTGGGGGGTCACCCCTCCTACGTCTTTTGAGGGGGCAAGCACTGAGCAGTGAACTGCCTGTGTTAAAAATGACCTGGGGCAGAACTTAACAGTTCAGCAACTTTTTCACCGGCCAGGGATTCAGAGGGAATTCCCTAAGGTTGGCAGCGGCCTGGGCCACATCCTGCTCTCAAGTGCATTGCTGCTTCTCCATCCGTTACACTAAATACAGGTGACATAGATGTCCAAAGCAAAACTGATGGGCTCAGGGCAGGTTGCTTCCCAATGCGTGGGTTTCCTGGCAGTGCAGGTGTACTGCTGGCACTGCCCAAGCTCATTTTCCATTAGGTGTCAACAATGACCTGAACCGCTCCCCCATCGGCCACGGTCTGTGGTGCCGAGAAGCACCACCAGAGCTGGCCCTTGCTCACTGACCCTTGTCCCTTTCCTCTCTGCCACCTGCCGCTTGCCCTCTCTTTCTCATGCCATGGATTTCTTGTGGGAGGTGGGGAGGGACATCCTCTGAGTGATGTCTTCACGGAGGGGGTGGGTTTAGGATGACAGGCAAGATGCCACAGGAAGGTTTCCACAGTTGGGGAATGGCCAAAAGCAGGGCTCTAGGAGACAGACCTACACCATAAATGTCTCTATGTGGCCCGATGGGTATGGCCTACAGTTTCTACAGTCAGTGGAGGGAGGAAAAGCATCTGAAGGCAGCTTAACCACCCCATCCAAAGCATTTTAAAATATTGCTTATAAATGAACCGGTTCTCAGCAGGTGTAAAACCATGCATTCGATCTAACTTCAGTGAAGATCTGAGGATCCTAGACAGCATTTGCTTTCTCAGTCTGCTTGCCTGTATTGCTTAGGATGCCTTTAACCTGGACATTGCTCTATGCAAAAGTTTCCCCAGGGATGTACTTACACAGGTGAGCTGTTCCTTGCAGTGGTGACACTCCACTGGTGGGGAAAAAAACCAATCCAAACTCACCACTCCTTCCCTCATACACCCCAAAGGCCCCTGTGCAGAGAAGACTGAGTCCTACTCTGCTTATTCCCAGAGTCTGTTCACACTGCTCAACCCCTCAACAGCTCCCACCATCCCTACAGGAGTACCTGCTGCTCCTCCAAATCTCCATGGCTTGGGCAAGATCCATGGGGCGCAGCTGAGGGAAGGGAAGGGAGACCTACTAGAGGTGGAAAGCTGCTCTCTTGAAGGAAAAGTGAAAAATAAATAAACCTCTGGCAGCCACTTTGTTCATGGTGGTATCTTCCCCCAGGGGTGGAAGGAAAACTGGCCCAGCACTGACCCTGAGAGCCACCTCCTGAAGGAGGGGGCTGAGGGGCCTCTGGCACAGGGCATCTGTCAAGATTGAATTTTATCAGTTAACAGGAGGAATTAGGGAAGAAAGCTTTAAGCCACCAAGGCCCCTTGGCTTAAAAAGGCTGCATGTGATGGAGGGTTGTGACGGCCAAGCTCAGGAGTTACTCTGAGCAGGAGTAACTATGAGCTATGAAGCAGGACACATAGTGGGACTGGAGGATGGAGACGCATGGGCAAGTGTGGGTAGACTCCATGCGCGTCATGTCTATCTGCCATCTCAGAAACTGTCCCTGAACATGGCTGAGGCCACGTCTCTCCAGTATGACCGTGCAATGACAGACCTACCCCTAATCTTAATCTCTTGAACATCCAAATGCTTACAGCTATGGAGTGCTAGAGCTGCAAAATGCAAGTCCATGAGTGATGCGGAGTCTGACCCCTGTTTGAATCTGAAGAGAGGCCAAGCTGAGCCACTGGAGAGC